ATTGCCATTTGGTATAATATGTAGCCCTTTTGTTCTAGCAGCGGTAATTAAAACTCACCTAAAAAAATATTTCTCACCTCATCTGAAATTAAAAATATCCCACAAAATAATTGTGTTAATAGTGTAATATTAATCACCTCGGGTCAAAAACGAATCATATAATGATATCACTCTCTAAAACCTATTTCGGCCAAGTTAAAATGATTATAAAGCAATTTGCTTCTAGCCCAAGTCATGGCTATAAAAATATACCTAATGAAGAGAAAGATGATAGTAGAGAAATTTCAGCCTCAGGTTTATATTGGAAACCTAGACCTAATACTATAACAAAACAGTGTAAACCATGGAAAAGACAAATGGAAACTAAAAAAAATATTTTGTCATATCTTGCTAGTCAATTTGACCCATTGGGGCTTATTAGCCCAATCACTATACTATTAAGAAGCTTTTGTAAGAAGTTGTGAAAAAGAAAATATAAATGGAATGATTTAATAGAACCTAGTTTATTGAAACATAGGAATAAATTAGTAGAGCCATTTAAATTTGTCCATATAGTCATTGGTAAAGAGGTTCTTCCAGATGGGGACTGGAAGTTACATGTATTCACAGATGCTGTCGCGGATAACGCGAAAACCTACAGTTAGCAGAACGAATGGAAACCGACCAGCAAAGTTAGCAGAATAACAACTAAGTATTTGCATATTGATAAAGGTCAACCGTTCCAACAGATCAAGAGGAAGAAAAGAGTCATTGTATAACGATACAGAAACCCACAAGGTTAACCCCCTAATTTCCTTTTTTGTAGCTTTTATCTCCTAATTTTCTTTAATTTTGATTTAACCCATTATCGACTGTTATTTTTTTATTATGCTTATTACTATATATCATTTATTAGTAATTTCATGATTAAATGTTGTGTTTTTTCTTACCCAAGTTTGAGGTGTGTTCACATTCCTACGCATTCTACAACTGTCCAACGACACGACTTGTTAGCAGAGAACAGAAGTGTTTTAACCTCCATTTCTATTTTTTGTTACAGACGCCTCTAAATTAGGATATGTGCAGTAGTGTATGCTACAGTAAAAAATAAGAAAACCATATATCCAGTATTATATATGCGATAAGTAGGTTATTGCTCAGTAAACCTATGACATTTTCAACAGCTGAACTGTTAGCAACGGAAGTGGGAGCAAAAGTGATTACTTTTCTTAAAATTGGATGTCAAAACCTCTTCCCTAATAGCACGATCTGGTTCAAAATGCGTTCTATATTGGCTGCAATCTCCTCATACTGACAGCAAACAACAGTTTATTTAAAAAAGAATAAAAATGATACGTAGTTTAGGGGTAAACTATCATTATTTATCGTTTGAAGATAACCTAGCAGATATACGTTCTAAAAGCTGTACACTTTGTGAACTTATAAAGAACCAATTATGGTGGTCAGAACCACAATGGTTAAATAAACTTTAGAAGAATAGCCATCTGGAATAACCCTCAAGAATGCAGAGATAGAAGATCACAAAAATGATAATGTAATTGAACCATTAATTCAAAAAATAAATGTCCAAAGTTGTCAAGCTACAGTAAAGGAGAAGACATTTCGATAGACCTTAGCAGATAAAATCCTTATAAAAGAGCTAGATACGTAGTACAAAATACATTAAAATTTATTAAGAAGTTAAGAAAGTAACTTTAAAATAAAATGGTACAAATGGAAAAAGGGGCAGAAAATTTACTTCTTGGAAAAATTCAGCAAGACATTACCAAAAGTTAAACAGAAAAGCGAAATCTGCGTAAAGACACACATAATCTATATGGAGTACATTCCAGGTTAGATAATGCTTTTTATTGAAAACCTCCTGTATTTTTACCTTTTAAAAATCGGTTGACATATTTTTCAAGAATGTGTTATCATGAACAAAACTTACATATAGGAGTCTCAAATACACTAAGCAATTTTAAAGATCAATAATTGTTTGAGAAAAAGAGACAGATTGTAACAAAAATTTGAAAAAATGAATGCTAAAAGACGCTGTAAAAGATGGAAATCAAAAACATTTAAATTACCCATAACGCCTAGTTTACCCAGTGGAAGAGTACCTCCTTCTTAAGCTTTCCAACACATCGGGTTAGCCTTACTAATGTAGATAATTCCACTTACAGAAAACCGTGTGTAACAAGAGTCTTGATGGCTTTGTTTACCTCTTTTACGACGTGGGCTAATCATCTAGAAATAATTGATAATTTACCTACTCTTTCTTAGAACATGTATTCCAAAGGCTTGTAACAATAGGCAAACCTGATGGTATCGCTTCAGACAATGCACCACAATTTTTTGCGGCTCTAACTAAAGAAAAATGATATTAAATGGAATTTTTATAGCAGCTCATGTTCCTCGGAAAGGAGAAGTAGATGAAAGGTTAAAAGGTTTGGTAAAGAATATTATAAAAAAGGCTACTGGTAAAAAACTAATGTCTAGAACTGAGTTAGATATTCTGATTAATAATACAACTAGGACCATCAAAAATAGACCCATAACTCAAGTAATGATTGGTAGCACCCATGTCTTACGTCCTATTGATTTCATAATACCACAGTTTACTGGTAATATTGAAGAAGAAACTGAATTACAAGAACACAGAAGATCAAAATATTCTATGATAGATTAAAAGGTACTATGAATAAATTATGGATTTTATGGTAGAAAGAATATATATATCGACTATTAAGTAGAAATCAACTAATGCATAAACAATCCAAATATGTAAATCAATGACTTCCTGTGAAAGATAAAATAGTCCTTTTTTATGACGAAAATGCTCCTAGGAATCAATAGCGAATAGCTAAAAGATTTGAGAATATAAATATTGAATATGGAGCTATTATATCAGCACGTGTAAAATATGGAAACGAAAGAATTGTAACTAGACCAGTTAACCGCCTTTATTCTTTGGAAGTACCAATGACAGTTCAGTATTTACTTACGGAACCACCTCAACATCATCTTGCTGATCCAAATCTTCAAGCCGAATCTTCAAGTGGTTTTATTTCTGTTCCACCAACCCAATAATTTTAGTTAACTAAAAGAAAATAAAATTGATATAAATAGTAATAAATAGTAAAAATGATTAAGTAATCAGTGACAGTAAGATAAATCATAAAAACAAAGTTATGATGAAAATGAAAAACTTTACACTTTTTCTTTCATTAATTATATTACCTTATACAATAACCTCAAAAGAAGAATTAAACCAATTTTATTCGAGTGGTCCTTATTCAGCAATACCAAAATCCATTAATTGCTCTACCCCTGACTTCCCTGAGCTGTGCCCATGAAAATTAACTTTTATACAAGATGCATCACTGAGACTATAGGAAACTCATGCTTTAATATATCAAGAGAAGTATGCAACAAATCAGTTTTTAAATTGACCTCAGGCGTTCAGAAGAAGGAAACTACAAAAGAAGCTATATCGATTTAGTTACTCAAAAGACTGATTGATACCAAATCTTGGAATATATTAGAACTAAAACAATTTGATGATAATAGCTAGGCTACTAATAATTAAGTTAGTGAAACGCTAGATACACAACCACTTCTAATTTGTACCTTAAGAAAGGAAAGGTAGCCTCAACAGAAGATAATCATATTATTACAGCTCTTGGGAACGCTGGAGTATGTCATTTGTATAAAGAACAGTGTATCACAAAAGAAAACATACTTATTCGGGATCAAGATAAATTCATATCTGGATCTCACTATCAAAATAAAGGGTTATATAAAGCCCAATTAACTGAGAATGCCATATATATTAAAGATTCACAATTAGCATTAAAGTATAAAAAATCACACACGTTGCATTCAGCATAAGAAGAAGCTTGTAATATTTATTTTCGTAAAAAGTTACGAGGAAGCTGTGTTTAACACAAAAGACTCAGTAATAAAATTTCAGCACTATAAAACAAATATTCAACTAGTAATAATAATAACTAAAATAATATAACTGCTAAGCCATTCGATCCAAATAACCAAAAATTACAATGTCTTCATGACATAATTATGAGTCATTTAGAAGAAAACTTTAACTTAGCATTCAAAGAGAGATGCTTAATTAACAATGACTTCTTAAAAACTAATATATACCACAGGGAGGATAATTCTTCACTAACAGCTAAGGCTAAACTTTTACTAAGAAAAAATAGCATAATAGCATCAAGAGTAGGGAAGCATTACTAAAGTTACACCAGAAATAATTTGTTGGAATCACCACGTCGATAGAAACTGTTACGAAGATTTGCCGATCAAGGTTATGGACAGAATACTACTTGCTTCTTCACATACGAGAATATTAAAAGTTTCTTCTTTCCGTAAAAACTATCAGCAACGTCTGAAACCAGTATATAAAAAAGTTCAATTTTAAACAAATGGCCAGCATCACGTTCCCCTTCAAGAAATTCATAACGATTTAGAATTACATTTATACAAAGATCATATTTAATTCACTGCACAAACTCATTATGATTCCGATTTGAAAAAAATATAAAAGGAAATAGATTATTTGACAGATCGGGACTAACTTAATGAAAAAATTATTGACAGCACTCATCTAGCAGAAGTTAAAATGTCACCACAAGATAAAATCGATCAAATATTGTACGATATGGAAAATACCATGCATGATGCAGCTCAGAGAGTCGAAAAATTTATCAACCAAGGTTTATTTCACTGAAAATGTAAATGGTTTCTAATCACTGTTGTATTTAGAGTATTACTCCTAGCTGCTGCTACTTATTCATCTACTTTAAGAAGAATTCCTATTATTTTGTTACTTTTTAAAAGAATACTAGTCATTCTTATTGTATACATTACCGAACGTTTGTGTAATTGAGATAAACCAAGCCAACGTCCACACTTGACTATCAGATATTCTTCATCAAAACTTCCTTTGAAGGAAACGGTTACTGGATACGAAACGTTAACTATTCAGCCTGTAAAACCTATTAATCCAGAACCTCAATTAATTTCTGATCAACCTGTAGAATTCCAGGCAGAAGACGTACACACGCAGAACAGAAGAACTCGCTCCGCTAGAACACCTAATCAATCAAAGACTCGATAAATGGCAGCAAAATCAACAGAAGCTAACAGAACCAGACGAACAAATAAATAGAAATTTAAAAGCGAGAGAGAGAAAAAATACTGGTGTTAATTTTGACACAATAGAATATTTTT